GTTGTATGATGATCTGCACGACGATTAACAATAATTTGGTCCCGGACTTGACGTGTCAAATTAATCCTTGTAATTTGTAGAATACTAGTAGTTATCATATTAGAAGGATAGTGTGTTCCTTCAATTTTAATACGAAGTTGATAATTAGAGTTAAGATATGATAATCATGAAAAAGAATGAACTCGAACAGAACAACAGTGCATATCATTTCCATTTCTTAGATTATTAGGCAAATAAAAATTGGGACATCCAGATACGCATTCTCCAATACCACCACATTGATGCCGGCAAGTTTTTCCATCACCAGCACAATACATAATCCACGACCAACATAATTTATCTTTTTTAAAACCATCTTGAATTTGGTTAAAATATTCTTGGCCTTTATCGGTAAGCTTCAAGATATCATCAATACGGTTTGTTGATTTTTGTTTTCCAGAAACTACCCATTCAGTAAAGTCAACTGCACCATAAACACGATAAAGCATAATAAGTTCATCATTAATTAATTTTGATGTTTTTAAACGACTTTGAGACTTTAAACACGTATTTTTCAAAGTGGATGTTGTAGTAAATACCACTTGGCTATTCGTCCAAAAGGGACTGAAACCGAGTTATCATCATTATAAACAATTTGGTCTTCAAACATTTTAAGAAAACAAAAAATTCAAATTTAAGGGTAAATTTGATTATTTGCTTTGAGTTTTGTTAGTTTTTTTCCCATGTTTAAAAATTAAATCGTTCAAAATTGCTATTTATTTGGTTTAATGCATGTTTCATGCACTAATTATTTTTTACATGTATATATGATATCATGTATTACACATATCACGTGAGTCAAGTGGGCATGTATCAAAAAAGTATAGGAATTTTGGGGTACATTTGAATGTATCAAAAAAGTAGGCGCAGGAGTATCAAAAATGAATGTTTTGCCACCGGCATACAAAAGCTTTGTACTATGCTGCACGGTACTTTAAAATTATTGGTTTAAAACTGTATATATAAGTGCAAGTATACATGCCGTAGAAATTATTGCGCATAATTTTTACCTGAATTTTGACATGCGGTAATGCCTAAATCTAAAATTCATGCCGCAACTTATGACCAATGCCTAAATCTAAAATTCATGCCGCAATTTATGACCAATGCCTAAAATCATTCATAAGTGCCGAAATTAATAAAGTATAATTGATATAGTGCCGAAAATAATAAAGTATAATTAATATAATGCCAAAAGTAATAAAGTATAAAGTATAATTGATATATCATCAGTTGATATAGTGATTTTAAGTGATGTAATAAAAACAAAAAAAGGATATTTTATTCAAATACTAAAATAATTCGATTTTATAAATCTTTATTATCTTTCTTCATTTTATTACAAATTTGTGAACATGTCATCTAAAAATACAGCTGGACGACTACTTAAAGAGATGTGGAAATATAAATAATTTATCTATATTTTTTTATTTTTATTATATTATAATTTAATAGAAATCGGTTAAAAATTACAATGCTTGAGGATATGGCAAAGATACATTCCTATTGTATTTCAAATGCTGATACAAAACTTACACATGCGACATTAGATTTAGAATTAGATGAATTGCGACAAAAAATTTTAAATGTAACAATATCTATGGAATTGAAAGATGAGGACAAAAATGATGTAACTATGATAGATGAAACTGAGAAACTTTTTATATTAGATGAGGAAATTAGAAACGATACAACTTCAATCGAAGATACTTTGCTGAAACCTTCGATTTTTGCTAAATATGTTTACAATATTGTTACAAAATTGCTACAATATAATTACAATATTACCAATGCTATAATATGATAAATATATGTTAAATATATGTTAAAAATATTATTATCATATTTTAAAAATATTTTTTTTGTTCTACTATCTTACTTTTAATTTGATGTATATTATGTATTCATAATATAATTACAATATAGGTTTAATATTAAAAATGTCTTTTTATTATCTAAAAACAATCTAATAATAATCTAATTAAATAATATTTTAATAATATTATAGTAACCTTTTTATAATAATTAAATAATATTACTATCTTACTTTAAATTTGATGTATATTATATATTTATAATATAATTACAATATAGGTTTAATATTAAAAATATCTTTTTATTATCTAATAACAATCTAATAGTAATCTAATTAAATAATATTTTAATAATATTATAGTAACCTTTTTATAATAATTAAATAATATTACCAATATATTAACAAACTAATATTTTTTATATATTAAACATATTATCAACAGATAATATTAAGATATTTAATAGGTATTTATTTTATTGCAAAAAGATATTTAACAAATATATTAAATATATAATTAACAGGTGTCTTTGAGATATTCAACATATGCCTTTGAGGTATTTAACAGGTCTCTTTGAGATATTTAGCAGATGTCTTTGAGATGTTTAGCAGATGCCTTTGAGATATTCAATTTATGTTTTTGAGGTATTTAACAGGCGTCTTTGAGATATTTAGCAGATGCCTTTGAGATATTTAGTAGATATTTTTTTGAGATGTTTATTTTATTATCAAAAGAAAAAAAAAATCATCTAACACAATATATATTTAGAAAAGTTTGACAACTATGTATACTGGTCAAAAACATGCAATTTGACCTCAATTTGACCTCTAAAATTTATATACAATTCAGAGGAGAATTAGCATTCAATTTTTGGTCAATAGTTAAAAACATAGCTAATAGTTAGAAATATTTTAATTAAAAATTTTTTATGCAAATTGTATTATTTTTTTAAAAAAATAATTTATTAAAAATATTATATACTATATACTACAGTACTATATTTCCTAACCAGTATGCTAATATCAAAACTAAAATAATCAAAGAAACCAGAATGCCAAAAAAACCAAAATGCACCAAGGTGCTAAAATAATTCCACAAAATCAAAAAGCTATAGTAATACTAAACTATAGTAATACTAAACTAGAGCAATACAAAAAACTAGAACAACACCAAGAAGTTAGAACGATACCAAGAAACTAGGGCGATACTGAGAAACTAGAGTATATATCAAAAAATCAAAATTGAGTAACGCCAAGAAATCAGAGCAATATCAAAAAACTAGAGTATATATCAAAAAATCAAAGAAATTAGAGTAACACCAAAAAATCAGAGCAACACCAAGAAGTCAAATTAACAAGAAATCAAAGCAATACAAGAAACTAGAACAATATCAAGAAACTAGGGTATTACTAAAAAATCAAAGTGTTACCAAGAAACTAGAATACCAAGAAGTTAGAACAACACTAAGAAACTAAAGCGATACTGAAAAACTAGAGTATATATCAAAAAATCAAAGAAATTAGAGTAATGCCAAGAAATCAGAGCAACGTCAAGAAATTAGAGTATATATCAAAAAATCAAAGAAATTAGAGTAATGCCAAAAAATTAGAGCAATATCAAAAAGTCAAATTAATAAAAAACTAGAGCAACACCAAGAAACTAGAACACCAAGAAACTAGAGTATTACTAAGAAATCAAAGTGTTACCAAAAAACTAAAATAACACCAAGATGTTAGAACAACACCAAGAAACTAGGGCGATACTGAGAAACTAGAGTATATATTAAAAAATCAAAGAAATTAGAGTAACACCAAGAAATCAGAACAACATCAAGAAACTAAAGTATATATCAAAAAATCAAAGAAATTAGAATAACGCCAAGAAATCAAAGCAACACCAAAAAGTCAAATTAACAAGAAATCAAAGCAATACAAGAAACTAGAACAACACCAAGAAACTAGAGTATTACTAAGAAATTAAAGTGTTACCAAGAAACTAGAATGACACCAGGAAGCTAGAACGACACCAAGAAACTAGGGTGATACCGAGAAACTAGAGCATATATCAAAAAATCAAAGAAATTAGAGTAATACCAAGAAATCAGAGCAATATCAAGAACTAGAGTATATATCAAAAAATCAAAGAAATTAGAGTAATACCAAAAAATCAGAGCAACATCAAGAAGTCAAATTAACAAGAAACTAGAGCAACACCAAAAAACTAGAACAATACCAAGAAACTAGAGTATTACTAAGAAATCAAAGCGTTACCAAGAAACTAGAATGACACCAAGATGTTAGAACGACATCAAGAAACTAGAACGATACTGAGAAACTAGAGTATATATCAAAAAATCAAAGAAATTAGAGTAACGCCAAGAAATCAGAGCAACATCAAGAAACTAGAGTATATATTAAAAAATCAAAGAAATTAGAGTAACACCAAGAAATCAGAGCAACACCAAGAAGTCAAATTAACAAGAAACTAGAGCAATACCAAGAAACTAGAACAATGCCAAGAAACTAGAGTATTACTAAAAAATTAAAGCGTTACCAAAAAACTAGAACGACACCAAGATGTTAGAATGACACCAAGAAACTAGAGCGATACTGAGAAACTAGAGCATATATCAAAAAATCAAAGAAATTAGAGTAACGCCAAGAAATCAGAGCAATATCAAGAAACTAGAGTATATATCAAAAAATTAAAGAAATTAGAGTAATGCCAAGAAATCAGAGCAATATTAAGAAACTAGAGTATATATCAAAAAATTAAAGAAATTAGAGTAATACCAAGAAATCAGAGCAACACCAAGAAGTCAAATTAACAAGAAATCAAAGCAATACAAGTAACTAGAACAACACCAAGAAACTAGAGTATTACTAAGAAATCAAAGCGTTACCAAGAAACTAGAATGACACCAGAAAGCTAAAACGATACCAAGAGACTAGGGCGGTACTGAAAAACTAGAGTATATATCAAAAAATCAAAGAAATTAGAGTAACACTAAGAAATCAGAGCAATATCAAGAAACTAGAGTATATATCAAAAAATCGAAGCAATACAAGAAACTAGAGCAACACCGAGAGACTAGAGTATTACTAAGAAATCAAAGCATTACCAGGAAACCAGAACGACACCAGGAAGCTAGAATGACACCAAGAAGCTAAAACGACACCAAGAAATCAAAGAAATTAGAGTAACACCAAGAAATCAAAGCAATACCAAGAAATCAAAGCAACACTAAGAAATCAAAGAAATCAAAGCAACACAAGAAACTAGAACAATACTAGGAAAACAAAGCATTACCAAACAACTAGATCAACACCAGAAATCAGAAAGAGTGACTTTAAGAAATCAGATCAACACCAGAAATCAGAAAGAGCGACTTCAAGAAATTAGATCAAGCTAGACAAGCTAGAGTGATCAGAGCAACCCAAAAAATCAGAGCAACACCAAAAAAACAAGAAATAAGAGCAACACCAAGAAATTAGAGTGACACCAAGAAATAAGAATACATCAAGAAATTGGAAAAAAAAAGAAAGTTTGTTTAGAATCTATTACATAATGTGCTGATTATAAATTTATGTAGATCGTACATATGTATGTACCCATGATATCAATAACTCCTACAGGGGATCCCCAAAATTCCAGGTTAGAAGCTTCAGAACTCTGGTTAGAAGGGCTGGAGTCGATCAATTTGCCCAAGATCACTAAGAATTTTACTAATGAAACAATAGTCATTCATTAAGTGAAAAGTCCCCAGCTGATAATTTTACCATAGCCTATAGCTTCACTAACCCTAACCCAGCCTTAACTCGACTCTAACTATGATGCATTCTGGCCATTATGACCCGAAAATTTAGGGATCCCCCTGTAGTTGATATTTAAATTATATATTATTTAAAACTAGGAAACAGGAACCATTGAAGTCCAGAGCCTAGATTTTTAAACAATTTTCTATTATTAATTTTACTTTGAATTTCAAAATAATATTTTATGAAATACTTAACTTTATCATTTAATTTATGCACATTTATTTTTTTTCATGATTTGCATTTAGAACAAAATTGTTATTTGGGATCAAAAGCTATTAATGGCACTACAGCTACTACTGTCATAAATGACAGAGAAGGAATAACTTCCTGTTAATTAAGGTAATGCTATTTTTAAAACTCTATCTAAGTTGAGTTATAACATATATAATATTGATAAAAATAATGAAATAGGGTAAATTAAATAAAAGTAAGTAATGTTCAAGTATAAAAGATATTTTGTTATAGAGAGTCTATCAAAAAATAATTATACAATAAAGTTCTAAATTTCTAATATATACATATTATACTATAAATAATTATACAATAAAAGTTTTAAATTTCTAATATATGGGCTGCCGTCAATAGAAATCAGGCAGATCTACATTTGAAAAAAAATCAATGCCTTAACTTTCACAGCTCATATCTCGATGAATTTTAAAGCTATCGTGAAATTTTAATATTTAAATGAAAGCTTACGATCTAAGCTTTATTTTAAATAATAAAGAATCAAGATATCTTTAAAATTTATCGAGATATGAGCTGTGAAAGTTAAGGTATTAATTTTTTTTCAAATGTAGATCTGCCTGATTTCTATTGACGGCAGCCCATATATATATTATACTATAAATAATTATATAATAAAAGTTCTAAATTTCTAATATATACATGTTATACTACACTATAATAAAATTTATTTAATATATATCTATTATTTATTTCATCATGGGTAGTATCACATTTGTCTGTACAAGCATATAAAAAGTGAATTTGGGAAGTATGATTAATAAAATTAATTGGAAATATAAACTGAGTTCCTTCAGCTATTCGAACATAAAGTAGACATCCCAATATTGAATCAACCTTGTTTGTTTTCTGAAATTTTTCAAATTAAATAAAAACATAATTCTGCCCATTGTGTGCTTTATGCTTAAATATATATTTAATTTTAGCATAGATAATGTCTTCCAAATTTTTGGTTAACTCTACGATATCATCTATATAAAATTTCAATCTAATGGAATTCTCATTATCAAGAAAAGTGTATGTAATATAATTATAATATTCAAGTTTTTTATTCAATAATGCACATCTGAATCCAAGATATTCTGCATATGACTTGAAGAGGTCTTGAAAAAGTTGTTGATTTTCATTTAGTGTTACGTTTAACCCCATATACTCTAATTTCTTTTTGGTCCATTGACTTTGAAGTTTAATATCAACATAACTTTTATTATGCCAAGTAATGCTTACAGTATCTAAAAAATAGATTTATATTAATAAAAAATATTAAAAACTTATTAAAAATTTAAATTTATTAGTTATCATATTTATTTTTTTCCTCTTACTGAATTGTATAGGTGAGTGATATATTGTAGCATACCAGTTTGAAAAAATTGGATGAAGATATTGATCTATAACAAGATTAGAAAGTGTATTGGTATTACAATTAAACCGAGAATTTTGTTAGCCATCAAATATATGTCTTAATGCTTGTATCGTATTATACCATCGAGTAAGATCAAGTTCAATCATTTTACAGTTTATACGTGGAACTATTCTCTTAAAAATTCGATAAACTATTTCTTTTACACCTACAGCAACATTTGTTAGTGTTGCAAAATTCCGAGCATGTTGCAAAAGATGCATATTCATATGAAGATTAGGTAGGTTTGTAAAGCATTCTGGAAATAACTATTTTTAAAAATATTAGTTAGTATATTAAGTATTAAATAACAAGAAATTAATTAAAATTTTAATCTCAAACCATCTAAAAAAAAATAACTTATAAAGCTAACTTTAACAAGTAAATCACATTATTTTTTTAATGACTCTTCCAATTCTTGATAAATAATACTAGTCATTGGTGTTGTAAAAGTAAGCTTCAATGCTTTGGCCTCAATAGCCCAAAGAGAACATAATTTTGCAACAATGTGTCTTTTACCAAAGGTTTCTTGCCATTTTTTTGAAATTTCAGCTTTTATATATTGAAATTTCAAAAAACATCGAAGTAAAAATGGCATTAATATAGCAAGCTTTAATGTGTCTAAAAATATAAAACTGTGCTGATGTCTTAATGGATTAAGTAGACGGCTCCAACGAGAAGGTTTTTTAATAGCTTTCCAGCTTTTCAAGAAGGTATCCTCACTAGCAGTATTTAGTACATTTAATGTTGTATCCAGTAATGTCTGAGCTTTGCCTCCCATTGAATAATAGATATCCTGTGGGATTTGTATATGCTGATCCCACATAAGTATATTAAAGACCCAGGTGATAATGTCAAACCATATTTAGCAGCCAACCATTCTTTATTTGTTTTTCCTTGCTGATTTTCAATTTCAAGTAATTGTTTTTCAGTTTGGTGCCGGAAATGAGCATTCTCTATATAGTTGTAATTTGGACAAGTGAGCTAATCACTTGGAACATTACATGTTCTACAACTATGATTAGCTCCATGCCTTTTAACACCTGCAAGGTCATTACCTTGGGGTAAGTTCACAGTAATACAACCAAGCCCACCTACAACCCAAGCCTTTCTATATATTGTATTCATAATTATGCCATTCTCTAATTGTTTTATATCTTGAAGTACAGTTTGATAAAATCATCAAATGTGAATTAAACCAACTAAAAATAGTTTTTAAGTAATTTTCGAAAAGAAAATGGCATATTGCCAAATTATAAATATACACCACCTAAAGAATGATATATATTTCTAAATGTACCGAAATTGTCAACATAGATATCGAGAAATATTTTTATTGTAAGCATAGGTTGTAGCAGAGGATTGTATATAATATACTTGCAAGGTAACTAATATCTTTTCATAATGTTCTGATATTTATAGCAGCCACCAAAATTGTAGACAACCTCCCGAACGTAAAATTCATAATTTTCAAGCTCTGGCATATCACAGAGCCATACAATAATGTGTCGATTAATATTTGCTGGATTGATAAACTTAGGATCACCCTCAACTAGCCATAGCTTTTTATTGTCTTTGCGATTGTGGCGAATACTATTGGAATAATAATTAGGAAGATCCTCACTTTGCAGAAGCTGGTAAACTTTTATTTTATGTGTTCTATTAACTTCATTAGTTACTATGCCGCGTATATGGTATATAAATTTTGTAAATCTACATAAAAAGAAATCCCCAGGATGATAGGTTTCACTATCATTACATTTTAGTTCATATTCTCCAAAAAGTGGAGATTCTTGCCAAAGATCTCCATGCCAAAATTCACTCTTTTCTACTTTAACAATACCAGGTCCAAAGTGCATCTTGGATACGAGTGTCAGATTATTTAGTACACGTTCCAAATGTGCTAAAGGGGATATAACAAATGCTTTTTTGGTAGACAAAAGTGCTGATGGTATTTTTTTTTCACAAATCGATATATTATGCTGTGCCACTTCAAGAATAGGCAATTTATATCTCCATTTACGAAAATGTCGAATGTTTGTTACAATATCTTCTTTGCGAAAGTTTGGATATTTAAGGATTTTAAAAAGATCGTCATATGCGCTAGTTGCTAAAAATAATGAAATAATACATGTTAAAGTTTGCTCACTTTATATATTGTAATACAAAAACAGATTTCATAATGCTAAATTTAAAAAAAAGCTTTAATAATTACTATAGTCATATACTTACAAATCATATGCTTTGTAATTCACACATATAACATTGTTGTTGTAAAATTTGGAAAGTATAGTCTATACTCTGTCGAAACCTTCAAATTCTGAAGATTCTTTCTCCAAAATTTTATCATTTATTGGGTATTCTTCTGTAACATCAATTATTGGACTAATATTTTGAAAAAATAGATCATTATTTAGATCATCTACTTCATCTGTTAATGTTTCTATTTCAGTTTCTTTTTCAGTTTCCTTATCAGTTTCTTCATTAACTTCTTCATAAATTTCTTGTTCTTAAATCATTTCTCTGCTCATTTCATCAGCTTCATTATCATCTTTATCAAATTCAGCATCAGTTAAAGTTAAATTGTATTCCTAAGAAGAGAAAGCATTCTCTGAAACACCCATATCAACAGTGTTAGGCTCTTCTTTTTTATTTCTTTTTTTAATGTGTAACTTTAGTATATCTGTATAAAGACGAGTTGTTCTTTTTAATCGCTTCATAGTATAAAACTTGATACTTTTCTAATAGTTTGTTGTAGTGGTGTAATCTGTTAATCGACAATTTGTATAACTGTTTGAAATTTGTATTTTTGTGCAATCCATATTATCTGTATATATATTGCAGATCATCTACTCAAACTATAGTTAATAGTAGTTAAACTATTCAAACTATAGTTAATAGTAGTTAAACTACTCAAACTATAGTTAATGGTAGTTAAACTACTCAAACTATAGTTAATGGTAGTTAAACTACTCAAACTATAGTTAATAGTAATTAAACTACTCAGACTATAGTTAATTGTAGTTAACTACCAAACTATAGTTAACTACTTAAACTATAGTTAATTGTAGCTAACTATTCAAATTGTAGTTAATATTTATCAATAAATTTAATTAGTATAACATAGATATTACATTTTATAATTAAAATATACATATTTGAATATTTATAACAATACTTTATAGCATATAAAACTTTAATTACAACTTATAAGAAATTTAATTGCAACATATATGAAACTTATACATATAGACAGATTTGATTATATTTGCTTTATTAGCTATAAATTGCTAAAGCTACACAATCATTTAATTTTAACAATTAAAATATTCCTATAAAATTTTCCTTTGTATGATAATTATAAACATAATTAAAACAATAGTTAGCTGTTGTTAACTATTAAAGCTATACAGATTATAGTTAACTATACAGATGCTTGCAGATCAAATCCGTATGGATACAGATTTGATTTTGTATAATCTGTTATTATACAGATTTGAATAGTTATATTATTACCTCATCTGTATTATCCGGATCAAACCACTATTTTTAATGGTTTGTTGAAATTTATTGTATAATTAAGAATTTTAGCATGGTTAATAATGCATTATCGAAAAGTTAATAATGCATTATCAAATGTATTATTGAAAAATTAATAATGCACAATCAAATGCATAGTCAAAAGTTAAGGATGTATAATCAAAAGTTAATAATACGTAGTCAAATGTAAATGTTAACTCAAATAAAGGATATATAATGACATGTAATTTAGCGTAAATTATCTAGATACGTATATATATGTTGTACGTTGCTCTTAATTAACGTACCTGAGTTTAAAATTTATACTGATTAAAATGTAACTTACATGTTTTAAAAATTATATGATTAATGCACCTGAAAAATGTGTACCAGGTTGGGTTCGGATGATGGTCCGGCAAATGGTTTCAAATTTTTACTTTTTCTCTACTAAGACTTATTTTTCAATTATAGTGATAATATAAAGTATATAATATTTAATGCAATTTATAACGCATATCTAATGCATAGAGTAATACAAATAAACTTGAATTTCAACATTATAATAGTTTTTTTTAAACTATTTGGTTGTTTTCAGTGATGCTTATTTGATAAATTATGTACTCTTTGCAATTAATCATTCTTTATACCTTTCATTTCAAACTGGTCGATATTTTCTTTCTGGATATTTTTTGACTGTATGAAACTTAATAAAACATATAGGACGCTAACTTGTTTATCGATAGAGATTCGGATTTTCGCATCCTTCTTGAAATATTCAATTTCGACAAGTTGGCTATCATTGTTAATGTTACTAATGATAAGTTGAAAACTTTTCAATAGATATAATATGCATATTAGATCTTCGTTGCTACATAGTTATTAAA